GTTTATTTCATCTCAATTTACTTTATGTCTTAATTAAATATAATTAAAAAATTAATTAGCATTGTGATATTTTTTCCTGACTAGAATTTGGGTGCGAAACTCTGTGAAAACAATAATCTGTCTAAACCTGGAAGCTCATCAACTGATTAGGCCGATCAGACGATCATTGAGCATTTCATTTATGATCAATGTTGAATTTTTCAAAATGGCCGAGCGTGGTTACATGCTAATGATTGACAGCAAACTAAACTAAATTGAAAGTGAGAAGACTTTGACTGTTTCTACGTCTTCAAGTAAGTGCAGTTAATATGCAGTGAATGCAGATTTTTCAGTTAATATATCTAAGAATAATTTTGGCAAAAAATAGGAGAAAATGAAGTGATCGGTTAACAGTAAAATAATTTAATTTATTACAGCCTCGTGCAGTTTAGTTAACCTTAAAATTACCAACTTGTTTTTAATTCTGTTCATTACCATTAGCATTCGAATATCACACCACAGTAAGTAGTTTTATATTTTACCTCTTACAAGTTTTAGTGTAAGAAAGTTAGCAAACAACTTAAATGAAAATTGTCATTTGTATGTGAGATACATAGGAGTCTCCTTTTGTAATTAGTGGGATTAACTGTAATGTTGATGACTTTTTGGTTGTATTTTCTAGTATGACTCATATGTTACTAGAGATCCTGTAAACACCGAAGTTCTGGACCCACAAGCAACTTAGTGCATAAATAGTTTTGGAAAATATGTTTAGAAAAGTTATGAGCTATTGACTGTATTCTAAAATTAAAGTTAATAGCTAGACCTAACACTAATATTTCTACCATAATAAAAGAAAAGTTCAAAAATTTGACTCATTGAACGAACTATCAAGCATGTCACTCAAATAGTCGTGAGCTGCTATTATTGTTCGGTTAATCCACTTGACGATCCTCAGAAAAAAAGACTAATATAGCAACAATGTTCTTAAAAGTTATCACTAACGTTATAATATTATCATACAAGTTTTTTTTATATAGATCACTTGATTAGGATACCATGCGTTATAATGTCTTTAGTTGTTGTTTCTTTGAACTGCTAGGCTGAGTAGACATCGGAGGACTGGAATTTCTTAAGAATCGCTCCTGGCTTGGTTCTTGTATTGGACAATATTTCGAGCCCTGTCATTATTCTTATACAGCCCTGACGTCGTAATCGATAAAATATAAAGCAGAATCGTTCTTGGTTAGGATTCTGCAGTGGACGACGTAACGGGTTTTATCTTTCGACTCATTGCTCTTATAGAGTCCATAACGTCATTTTCGATAAAAAAAAAAATCAAGTCAGACGGAAATTTTTAAATAACAATTGACATTTTGATATGCTTTTAAGATCAAGATCAAATAAATAATTCTGTTTGTTTGTTATTAAGCAGCAAAACCATGGACTATCTGTGCCGTGACCATCACAGGTGTCGGAACCCGAATTTTAGAGTTATAGGCCTTCAAACTGACCGTTGAGCCACAGGGGGGACCTCTTTTAAATGAATATTTAAAAATTGATAGGCTAGTCATTCACGGTTTCATAAAGATTAAATTAAGAAAATTTAGCGAAAAAACAAACCAACAGATGTTAGTCTTAAATGTTTTTCATACTAATAGCATTCCTGTTTTTAACCTACAGAGTGATCTTTAAAGCTTTAAACATATTTTAGGAATTATTTATGCTCCAAATTGCTTGTGGGTCAACGACTTTGTTGCTTAAAAGATCCCTATTAACAGATATAATAATGTCTACCAAAATAGTTCCTAAAATTATTCAATAAAAATCACAATTAAATAACAATCAGTATTAATTATGAGTAGCAGGTCCACCACAAAAAGTTTCTGTGACCACTCTGTCCTGGAACGTCAATTGAGTATCCTCGTAGTTAGTGACATTTTCAGTCCTTATGAGTCGCATATACACGAAAGTAAAATACTGTCAATATTATGATTAATCCCACTAATTAATGACGAATTTTTTTATATGTTTCACTTTAAAATTATTGCTTTATCCTAATTTTTCGGCCAGTTCTTTACAATAATTGTTATGAAAGGCAAACCCATAAACTTGATCAATATAACGCAATGTGTGGACCCCACCGATAGTGGACGGCATGTAAACATGGGTTAAAGTAAAAGCTCGTGAAATAGAACAAATCCCAACTAACTAACAGCATAATCTACCAAATATAAGAATGTATTTATACGATTAACTAGACTTCAGATGAATAAGAGAACTGCTGATTCCTTAACTATGATATTTATAATAATGCACACATTTCTCTTATTGTTAACTGTTTGTAAAATGCTTGCGTTCTTTATTTATAGCTTCCTAGGGCCATACTGCCAAATATAAGAATGTATTTATACGATTAACTAGACTTCAGATGAATAAGAGAACTGCTGATTCCTTAACTATGATATCTATAATAATGCACACATTTCTCTTATTGTTAACTGTTTGTAAAATTATTACGTTATTTATTTATAGCTTCCTAGGTCCATACTGCCACAAACGAGGAGTGAAAGTTAAGATTTTGTTTGTTTCAGGAATTCCGTCCAAAACTATATGAAGACTATCTTCGCATAGCTGTCCCTAATTTTGGAATGATAGGCTGGACCAGTGATTCCCAACCTGTGGTCCCCGGACCCCTGGGGGTTCGCGAAGATAATACCATCTCATTAAACAAGTAAGTTTTATAATTCTGCTGTTCTTTTAATTGCACACTCAGTTATATATGTCTTTTATTTGATAGTGAAAAATTATTAGTTAATTATTAGTAAGAAAAACAGTTTGTTGGGTAGATGGAATCTTTCAAAAAACATGGGATCCGTGGGGAGAAAAATAATAACAAAAGGGGGTCCTTGGTGGTGAAAAGGTTGGGAACCGCTGGGCTAGACGAATGGCAGCACCTACCGTCAACTCTTGTCCTACTCTTATCTGACCGAATAGTTAGATTTTACTTCACTCCTATAGCACACTAATAGCCTCAAACTACGGAGAGTGGTTTAGTGGCAACGGAACGCGAACCATAAATCTTCATATTCACAGTCCGGTCACACTAACCACTAGGCAACGTCTGACCCATGCAAGTTAAGACTTAGAAAAGAATAAATATTGGGAAACTGAAATGTACATCATTCAAGTCTGTTGCAGTGGGAGAATTGGTGTGTCGTAAACAAATGGCCTCCGCCTTTGTCTGGTCCCAAGTCCAGGATGAGAAAAGAGGAGGGTTGGGCGCGAGGCTAGCAACTCCACCCCGTAAAAACCAACTTGCTATAAGTAACTGCAACAACACCTTCCGTTGGCGAGGTGTTGTTGCGGCCCTATGCTCCACTAGAAGTTTACAGGAATAATAAAAGAAAAAGAAAAAAAATGGCCATTCATGAATAACGTTTCGCAATAGTTGTGGCGTCCTAATTCCGGAATATTTTCCAAGAACTCCAACTCTATTTGTAGGAATTAGGACGCCACAACTATTGCGAAACAATGAAGCCTTCATATTTTTTTTCTCTACCTTGTTGTTACCACGCAGAATATTGTCTTAGAAAAGACTTGATAATATATAAACACTAATATGGTAAAATTCGATTTAATTTCTCACCTGCAAATAATAAAGAAAACATGTGAACTACCTTATTTCAGTTAACTTACCAAAGTATTAAGTGGTGAGAAGGTCTAAACACTGTATAATAAATCCTAATATATGTTGAAGAGTTTCTTGGAGGAAACAGATATTCCAAAAACTTTAAATCGTAATAAAACGAAACACGTAGTATATATAATACATACATACCTAAACACACGTAAATAAATAGATAAATTTCGGATTAGTAAATAGCAATATTGCTAAAGCAGCAACATTGTTTTTATTGAAGAATTAGGTGCTAGATAACTATTAATTCCGTATATTAACCAATAATAATTATTTACTAATGTAGCTATTTACAAGGGCCTTGATTAACAGCAATTTAAAATTTCTCGTAAAGCTTACCCATATATATAAAGATTACGAAGGAAGACATTGCTATGGTAAATTTATTAAATAGAAGAAGAAAAAACATCCGAAGATAAGGAAGCTGTTTTTTAGAATGAGTAATTAGGGTCCTTGAAAAATATGTATATATATGAAATAAATTGCAACATCTATAGAAGGAATGGTTGTATTGTATATGGTTGTATTGTATATGGTTGTATCACAGCACACTCTTTAATAACCCACATCATCTCGTACTTTCATTATAACCATAAAAATTCTCTGTTTAAAAACTTATATTCCAATGAAACATACATTTAAAGGTACTGTTTCTCATCTAAAAAAATACTGTGCAAATAACACTAAACACGTTTCGGAGACTCGATCAGAGAACAAAAATATCTGTCGCTTTCCTATGTTCTTTTCCTGGCATGTCAACGCAAGCCGACCGAAACTTGACGAATCGTCAAATTTTTTCTCTGGCGGAGAGCTAGTGTTAGAAGTACACGTACATTTGGATGTAGTTCCTAGTGGTATAGTCTATGTTGTATAGATTAAACGATTTCTAAGTAGAGATCTCTTTCTCTGTGATTTCTATAAAAATTCAAATGAACTTACCCTGTCAATCGTTACACAATGAAATAGGTTTGACGAGTTTATCACCGTAATATAAACGTTTCAGGCTTGGATTCTCAGTATTATAGATATATCACTATGAAATATTCATAAAATCAATACTGTATGCTAGGCTGTGTAAATCTTGCATTTATTTATTCTGAAGTTAAATTCGTATTAAGCTAAAGATGCGAGGATCCGATCGAAACACTTTAAAATTTAATTATAAATTTAATAATTACAAGGTTTGAAACCTACATAGTTGTTATGTAAAAGATGTTAAACCTATAAACAATTCTTTTGCTCATTTCGAAAATTTACTGTGGAAGCTTATTTTCATTTTACAACTAACTAATTATTAATTTCATTCGGCTTCTCAACTTACCAAAATCCTTCCGGTGGTTGTTTGGCCTGAGATCAATTCTCCCGCCCAATCTTTGGCTTCTGTCATGAAACCTATCTCTGTTGCATGGTGACTTTTGTCTACCGGTTGACCGGGTAAAGGACCTTGCGGCTGTTTTTGATGCTTGATGGTAGAACCCTGACTGCTGGACCCTGATTCCTCTTTCCGACAGCACAAGAAAGCAAACGCTCGCCATAATAAAATAATAATCAAGCCGAAAAGAAAAGTGAATATACTTGATAAAAGAAAACACCACCATTTTCTTTCTTTCATACACTGTTCTTCGGGGGTGAGATTGGGTGGAAACTCTACGATACCAGACGCTGACCACTCCGAATCACTCAGCGCTGACATTATGTCTCTCTAAGGTAGCTTCCCAAGCTGTATTCCTTTTTATGAGGGAGCTGTAGCAGACCGATGGGAAAACTACACATGTCAGACAGCACCCAGAACAGTCAGAAACTAGAAGTGTCTTTAAGTGTAAGAACCAGCCTTCAAAAGTCACCTCGTGCACGCAATCGCTGACACTAAAAATCTGTTCGTCTGGATGTTAGATTGCATCTCGAATAACTATTGAATAAAACTATTTAATTTAGAATCTAAAAAAAAAACATCTTCTTTCGTGAAGGGCGAGTATCAACACTACGTTTCATCAGCTATTCTCTCAACGCATCTTTCACTAGAGTTCCGCGGGTTATTGTGTACTATACTGACAACTAGCCTCCCTCTCCTGCTAACTCTTACTGCGGCAGTTAGAGCACCAACCGCGCATGCGTTAAGATCCTCCTTTTTTGTGCAACCATGCAATATCTTCTAAATTCTTTTTCTTTAAGTTTTAGATTCTATTAAGGAGGCAGTCAGCCAAAAGACAGTGAAATCACATTCTATGAATGTGCACAATTTATTTACACTTCACATTCGCTATTTTTCGTTCGATGTACGTTTTACAGAACTCCAAAATATAATCATTCGTTCGATGGGTAGACCAACACTTACTATAAAGCTGTATGCGCCGCTCACTGTTGCACTGTGAGTCCCAATCCTCTGCAACAGGAAACAATCAATACGGGAAACGTGAAGGAAATGTCAACCCATCAATTAGACAGCATACTATATTATTTTAGCCTTGACCTAAGAAGCAGTTACATAATTTCGGAAAGGGGGGGGGGGAGAAGGTCCAAATCTGGGACCAGAATACAAAAATAATAATATATAGGACAAATTGTAATTATACATTTAATTCCCTCAATAAATCATGAGGTCCTCCCCAATTCTTAGGGTCGATGACTCCGCTTCTCTATTATTTTCTCTTCCTCGGTAATTCCTTTAATTGATAAAATTAATAGATCATTATTACTTTGAAAAAGAAAATTCATATATACTGAGCAATAAACTAACTTTGGCTATCTACTTTTTTTTTTTTTGGTACAGAGAAACAGGGTCTCCCATTAGATCCTTCCTTTCTTTGTTTTACTTGAAATATATTGTCTTATTTTCAACCAGTAAGCAAATTAAGAAGAACTAGCTGTATCTTAAGTTATCAAACGTTTTGGCAAATGGATGGCGAAAGTGAGAAATACAATGTTGTTCTCCATTCAAATATTAAACAAATAAACTATACAGTTTGAAATATTTATGTAATTTCAGGTTATTAAAGCTCGTCTAAGAAACAGTAGTCATTCTTCGAAAAGCGAAAAACCACAGTAAATAGAACAAACTGTCAAAATTACTGATATGAGAAAAACCAGTTTCGGCACATTCGTGCATCTTCTTCAGTCTCACGTTGTCTTCTGGAACGAAAACTGGTCAAAAACGCCTACTGGAACAAATCTCTTCTTGCTTTAAGATGACAAATTGTAATGAAACGTTGTGGAAAATAGAAAATTTTTAATTTCATGCTCAAGCGTTGTCAGGTGGCATATTCTATAGATTCTTAGAAAAATATGAAAAAATAACAAATGTTTCGACCTGTTTAAGTTGGCCTGAAAAGAAGTGAGCATAACCTAAACAATTTGTTGTTTTTCAGTAAGTTTTATGGTTCTATGTTTTATGGTTATCAAAATATTCAAGAAAAAAGTTTGTTATGTTTTTCCCATTCAACTGTTAAATTTGGTAGCCAGATGAGGATAATTAAGGTTGTTAAAACATTTTCAAAATAACTTCTTTTGTTTGGCCATACAGAAAAGATATCATCAGCATTTTTGAGAGGTCTGTATTCCTGGAAGAAAGTAATTCCGTTTGAATTACTTCAATTACCACAAGTTCATGTTCTTTGATTCTGATTTTGGGTAGTAAGGCACGTGACCCGAAAAGCTGGAAGCTATTGCAATGAACTTCCTCCTACCAGACTGTGTCATTATTTTTTCAGTATTGACTGTTCCAGCATTATCCGTACTTTCAAACATGTGTACCTTTTTTACAATGCTAATTCTTAAGAGTAACAGACCATCTAAAAACGATCGGTGTCATTATATATATATATAACGTGAATAATATTTGACTTTGTAACTGACAAATGAGTTGATTTATTTTCATTTTACTTTTATATGAAGAAAAATTGCATGAAAGGAAAAAATTATATGGATAGATATAAAATAAAATATGTTTTTATTTATCATATTAATTCTTTAGAAGCTTCTAATAATTTTAGAATGTATTTTTTATCACGGCGGATTTGTTTGTTTTTCATCATCAAAAGGAAATTAAATAGATTTCACGCCCTTGATCAAAACTGATCATCTGTGATAAATTTAAGTACTTGCGAATGTCGTCATTGCTATTCGGCTGGGTATGTGGTCCAACTCAAATGTATCAAATTCTAAAACTGATAGAACACTTAAAATTCATTGGCAATCTTGTTTATTATAGTGCACTTCCAGGCCTACTAAACTGTTTAAAGCTTTTGTAGCGAAGATCACAGCAAGTCTGTACGTTGTAGCAAAGACTAGAACTTCTGCAAAACACGTGTAGCACCTGATTAATACCTCGAGTCAAGCAAACTTTGACGCACTCAGTACAGCTTGATTAAATAAAGGAAAGTTTTTAAATTTGTATTACCGGAATTTTTCTTAATAAAAAAAACAATCACCCGTACTAACATTATAATTACATATATCTATCTTAACACTATAGTTATGGGTAAATCAAAGTGATCCACATAAAAGGATATACATTAATATTTTATAGCAATACTCAGAATGTGTTTATATTTTAAAACTAAAGTCTTATTTGCTTATTATGTTATGAAACTGGCTTGGATAATAAACGTCTATCAGATATCAGAAGCCATTTCTTTGTTAGAAAACCTAAAAAAAATACCTTATTCCCTTGTTACGACATCGAGGTCACGTGACTAGTATCACGTCATGTCATTCTCGAACTTTCATGTCTTTTCCTTAAATCTCGTGATCTTTCTAGATATAGTGTAGTCTTGTATATATAAGACCGGCCACGAAGCGACGGAGAGGTAATAAGTAATTGAATGTATGCGGATAAAATATTGTTGGCCACCTGAGACGTGAGTTATAGGCGTTGTTATAGAGCGACTGTTGAAATTAAGTGTATCGTAAAGTTGTATTCGGAAAGAATAAACCAGTTT